CCAACCGACCGATATTGTTGTCCCAATCCATAGATACTTTAAATTCGAAAACAAATTCTATCTGGATTAATCAATGTCTTGTAAAGGAGTTATTTTTTTCTTATAAAAAAATATAAGACAATGTTTCTTTCGGTTGTTATATTTATTTTAATTGAAGTGGGGTGGAATATTAATCAGTTTTTCTAAGTTTATAAGGTTTTTCAATTTATTTTACAAGGTCTTTTTATATTATTGTATTTTATCATGTCTCAAAAATCTGACAAAGTGGTATCAAAAATAATTCTCATATCTAAATAAAAAAATAAAGTGGCGTATACAAGCACATGAGGATCATACTAGCAAGAAAGTTGTTCCTAAAATGAGATAGTGTATACAAGCAGATGAGCACTTAAGGAAGATGTTCTTGGCAGACCCCTCGTAACTGTGCGTAAAATTTTAATTTGGGGACGAATTTTTTTTTTTTTTTTAGGAGAATAGGTTGTGAGACCTGTTTTTTAAAATATATATATACATATATAGTTTTTAAATTGCATGAAGTTTACATAAACTAATATCAAAATAGGAATTCTCACAAGATGAGCCAATTGAATATAATGTTGACTATACTTTGACTAAGTAAAAATTTATTATTATTAGTATTATTAACATAAACCTTGTTTCTTTTAACAAAAAAAAAAAAAAAAACATAAACCTTGTTTCAAATTTATCATATAAATATCATTATATAAAGCTGAATTTATATATAAGATATGTCTACATGCTATTACCCATCATAAGGTAATATGAGTAGATACAAATGAATTTCAACTTTTTGAGAGCTAGTCATTAATTTATGGAATTAAGAGTTAAATAAGGGGTTATAATGATGATTAGTTAAAAATATGAATTTTGAATGGCAACTATGCAGAATTATTTTTGAGGACTGCTGTCCTAATTTTCATATAAAACTTTAATACTTCTTATTTATTTTCTTTTAAACCTTATTATTTACACTCCTTGAAAAAAGGGTATGAAAAATAGCATGCTAAGAGCATTTTCAGTGATATGTTAAAAAAATCTTTTGTTTAAAATATACACTGTCATATATGATTTGTAATTTTTTGTTTCATCTCCAGCAATCTGTTAAGATACACTACCATATCACGAATGTGTAAAAGGGTGGTGTATTTTAGACAGCCCTTTTACACGGCCACGTAAGCATATTTTTTCTCTCCTCCTTCTTTCCCACTTGCGGTTCTCTTTTTTCTCTCTAATTCCTTTACGCCTTTTTGTTTCCCACTTTTCAACTGTAGAGAAGAATCTGCAACTGGAAGTAAGGAAAGCACTGGTCGACCATATTTTATTTTATTTTATTTATTTTTTAATAAACATAATTTGATTCATCACTTTCATTGATCTTATCTTCTGTAATCATCGCCGTAGATTGTAAGATTTTTTTAGATTTTCTATCATTTTACAATGAGATAAATATGTACTAGCTAGCTAAAGATTAGATATATATTTTAATCACGTTTTTATATAATTGTTGATATAAAACCTTTAATTATATAGTTTCTATGTTCTTGAATCTTATTTTATTATTTGTTATCTATTTTCTTTTAAACTTTATTATTTACATTCCCTGAAAAAAGAGTGTGACAAATAGCATGCTGATTCTTAGTCTAGTAAACTTTTTTTATTAATTATTTTTTTCTCATTAAAAAAAAATAATTGCACTCAAGGATACAAATAATTATAATTTAATCCTACCAGTTACTAAATATCAGAAATCGACCCCTCTATGCTAATTAGTTATTTGGATAAATACTACCATCAACCCAATATATTAATTAATCCATATTTTGGCTATCTAAGTTTAATATATTTGATCACATAAATTGTTTTCAAGAAACTAATATATTTAGGAAATAAATAAATATGAAAACTATTTATTAAATATAGCTGGTCTATTTTCTGTGATTAAAAAAATAAATTCAAATATTAATACAACATGGATTCCATCTTAAAAAGTATGTTCAATAGTATTATAATAGCAATTACTAAAAATATCCAAGTGTATTGACTCGCAGGTCACTTAAGTAAATCAAAGTAAATATTATTATAATTCATAAATCTCTCATAATTAAGAATCAATTTACTTTAGTAATAGATAAAGAAAATTACTCATGATAGCTCAAATAATTTTCTATTTATAAACAATTCGTTTAGTGTATCCTGAGATAAGTCATTCCACTTACGTGTTTCAATCTAGTTAGTAAATCAATGTGTTACATTCATGAGGTAGAATGCCCAATTCTATTCATTTGAGTGTGAGCATTTATAATTACAATACTGATGATTTATATCTCCTATACACATGGCTACTTTCATGTATGCATAATTCATCCTATCAAAATTAATTGACACTTAGTTCAAAACTCTTGAAACACTCAATACAAACATTCACCAATATTATATGAATATAAATAAATAAGAATTTATTTGATCTAAATGTCAAAATACAATCATTGGCTTTATAGAGCATCCACAAGGGCATGCTTTTTAAGCCAAACATGATCTTATGGGTAAAAGAATTAAAAAAAAAAACTTGAAACGTGGAGAAGTGCCTTGGAATCAAAAGAATTGAGAATTAGTCGAACTAAAAACAAGCTATGGGGTGTAAATTTAATAAAGAATCAAATATTGATAATATAATAATAACACTTCAAAATTAAAAAATTACTCAAAACAACTATTTTTGCTTATTAAATCGATAATTCAAAGTGATAGAGAGAGATAATGATGTAACTAGTAGAATTGAAGCGGGTTGGACAAAATGAAAACAAGCTAGTTGGATCTTATGTGACAAAAAAATAATACATAGGCTAAAATGAAAATGTTAAGATACAACATATTAGACCAAATATGTTGTATGGAGTAGAATTTTGGGCCCTAATTAAAAAAGAAACAAAAGCAACTCATTCATGCACTGGAAATGAAAATGTTAAGATGTGTGACTAGAGTGATTAGAAACAAATAGGGTCACTAATTAAATTGTGAGAGAAAAATTATGTGCAACACCTATTGGTGAGAAAATTAGATAGAATAGACTTAGATAATTTGAATACATATATAAGAGATCTCAAGAAGCGTCGGTTAAAAAACAAAGTCTAATTGTAATAGAAGATAAGAGACGAAGAGGGTGACCAAGTTTAACATGGGTTGAGGTTAATAAAAATGAATTTAAAAAGTTAAATATAGTAGGTAAATTGACATATAATAAGAAGGATAGGAGAGGGAGAGTTCATTTGGCTAACATCATTCAAATGGGATTAAGACAAAAATAATTATGACGACGACGACTAAATAATAAATTGGCTATATGTTGAGTTAGTAATAATGATAGTGAGAGATTTTATTTTATTTTATTATTATTTTTTTTCATAAACACAAATTAAATCCCGGTCAACTATACTTTTCGGTAAGAAATTTAGGAAAACGACGAAAGAAAAAAAATAACATATTAAGAAGTAAGTGTTGTTGGGGGAATTTGCATATAAATTACAACACACTAAAAATTATACATCAAATATTATTGTAAAAAGAATTCATTCAATCACGTAACACATAAGTTGAATATTTAGAATACAACAAATTTGAATTTACAATCGAATAGAATATAAGAATGACATTCTCAACACTTAAAAATTTAAATAACATAAATTATGTGAAATAAAGTTACAGAAATTGACACAAAAATAGAAATGATGGTGAAAGGGCCAAAAAGGAGAGTGGGCCAGGTCTGGCCAACCCATTAGTTTATTAAAACCCTTCAGTAATCCTCGGGCTCAATCCGAAGGAAGTATTGAACCCAACGAACACTGAATCCAAAGAAGAAAGACGGACTCCCAAACGGGCCAGTCCGCAAAAGAACGGGCTAGTCCACAAAAGAATGAAGCCCATTAACAGTCCGCAAAAGAACGGGCTAGAACGGGCTCGGTCACTCAAGAATGTCTCATTCCTTAAAGTGTATGGTAGAACGTAGAAGGCTCTTCGTATAGGTTTACAACTTGTAAAGTTTTATATCATTAAGGTAGTATTAAAGTGAAATAATACTGGGAATAAATAAAATACTAACAATACTTTATTCATAATATATAACAATAATACTTTAATAATATTATAATTTTTATTAAATAGTAGTAAAAGTAAGAACAAATAATCAATGCTATGAGTATTTTTTACTTTCAGCTTCAAGAACAAATAATGGTATTTTTTTGACTTTTTTATTTTTTTTATTTTCCCAAACTATGTAATTTGACTTAAAAAGTACCGCTAATGGTTTTAGTCTAATAATACTTTCACAAATTTTAAAATATAAAGTCCCACGTAATATTTCACCGTATAAAAAAATACTATTTGATAATATTTTTAATACTTCAAACTTTAATGTATATATGTTGGTATCTCTATACAAGAGTGGTACTTACGTACATAAAAATGATACATCTATGTATAAGAGCGGTACCTCTAATCATAAGAGTAATGGTACCGTTGATCACAAATGTAGTACTTATATATACAAAAGTGATATATCTGTATAAAAAAAAATAGTAATTACATGCACAAAAATGATACCCGGAGATATTAAGGGTAATTTAAATAAATGAATAGTTTTTTTCTACCTTCCCATCAGACTTTGGTCAAAATCTACAACTTTGAAAAGTATTGATTTTGACGTAATAAGACCTCCTAAAGTTCACTTTTTTTTATATAATTTTTTCTTTTAATAAATCAACAATATTTTTTAAAAAATTATCTGGTTATCTCTTTAATTCCCTAAAACAATATGGGCATGGTTAGTCAATGGAGTTGGACATAATAAAAAATAAAATCAAAATCAACTTGTGGTAATGCATGACGTGTTTAAAATTTAGTTTACTTGAGACCCAAGTAGAGTAAACAAACAAGGTTTCGTGGTTTGTCTTTATATATTACTCTATCAATAAGAGTCCCCCAAACTTGATGCTATAAGCTAGTAGTAAGCCATGTCTACAGTCGGCAACGGCGCACACATCCTCGTCTACCCTTATCCTGCGCCTAGTCACATTATACCCCTTCTCGATCTCACCCGTCTGTTACTCACCCGCGGCTTCACCGTCACCGTATTGGTCACACCCAAGCATCTCCCTATACTCCAACCTCTCCTTTCAACCCACCCCTCCACTTCTATCCAACCCCTCCTCCTCTCTCATCCCCCAAAGCCCCCCAATTCCGGGCTCATCGCTAAAGTGCGCGCCTCCAGTGAACTCTACCACCCCATCCTTCAGTGGTTTCGATCCCACCCTAACCCTCCTGTGGCCATCGTATCTGATTTTTTCCTCGGCTGGACCAACAACCTAGCTCGCCAGCTCGGCTTGCCACGTGTCGTTTTCTGGCCATCTGGTGCTTTTGCTGCCTCCGTTCTTGATTCCCTGTGGCGCAATCTACCGAGAAATGATGAACCTCACAACGACGACTTCTTGATCAATCTAACTAGTGTTCCGAATTCCCCAGTATACCCCTGGTGGCAATTGTCTGAGGTCTACCGCGAATACGTAGAAGGCGACCCAGATTTCGAATTCTTCAGGAACAGCTTTTTGGACAACTCGGAGAGTTGGGGAATTTTATTCAATTCGTTCAGTGATTTGGAACAAATTTACATTGATCACGTCAAGAAAGAGTTGGGACACACACGTGTCTGGGCCGTGGGACCCCTTTTGCCTCCTGATGACGTGGGGTCCGCTACACGTGGCGGACAAGGTGCTGTGTCACATCACGAGGTGATGACGTGGCTCGACAGCAAGGCAGTTGACTCGGTTGTGTACGTGTGCTTTGGGAGTCGCGGCGTGCTGACAAGTAAGCAAACCGAAGCACTAGTGGCTGCGATCCAGCATAGTGGGGTGCATTTTATTTGGGCTGTGAAGGCCAATGGTAAAGGACACGTGGCCAATGATGCCGGTGCAATTCTAGATCAATTTGAAGAACGAGTGGGACCTAAAGGTTTTATCATCAGAGGATGGGCCCCACAGGTGGCAATACTGAGGCACCGAGCCGTAGGAGCGTTCTTGACTCACTGCGGGTGGAACTCAGTGTTGGAGGGATTAGCTGCTGGGGTGGCGATGCTGACGTGGCCAATGGGTGCGGACCAATTTACAAACGCTAAACTGTTGGTTGACCAGATTGGCGTGGCGGTTCGAGCTTGTGAGGGTGGGGATCAATTTGTTCCTGACTCGACCGAGTTGGCTAGGTTATTGGCCGAGTCGGTGAGTGAGACGGAGCCTAAGAGAACACGAATGATGCAATTATGTGATGCTGCTTTGAATGCTTTCACGGGAGGCAGTTCAAGCATGGATTTAGAGGATTTTCTCAACCGACTCGGTGAGCTTCAAAGAAAAGAGTTGTGATTAATTCACCCATGCACACTTTATTACTTCTGTCGTACATTTTGTTTTACTCCCTTTGAATGAAACATTTTATTATTATTATTATTATTATTATTTATTTTATGAAACTGGCCTTTGTCCACTTTGCTATATGTGCTAATAGATTTCTTAATAAGGGTATGAAATTTATCTATTTAGTTGATATCAGCCTTTGGATGTCTCTTCAAAGTGGTAGGTAAGAGTGAGTTCGAGTCTTCTTATGGAAAAACGGGTGAAGAAAAAATAGAAAAATCCAATTCTAGTTAATAGCTAATTTCTAAGAAATAGTTCCTCCATGAGAGTACACACATTTTGTTAACAAAGGCCCAGCGTGTTACAAGTTTTTTGGAGCCTAGCCGCAAGGCACGCACCTGAACTTAGAATTGAAAAATTAAAGTACTTTTAACGCATATTCATATTGTATATTAAAGACATAAAAGGTATCAAAAGCACAAGAACACAGTAGGAACCTAGGCCCTAGGCGCGCCTTAGACAACACTACACACATCAGGAGGTTGAATAGACCTAAGTAGAGATCCTTAGTTTGAAATCATAATCTCTGTCTCCCCAACTGATTACACCCATCAATCAATGAGTAAAACTTCACATTTTCATGTTTCTTTCCCTTTGTTTGAAAGGTGTCCTATATAGACCTTACATTTTCACCAGTAAAGTTTAATCATCCAGGTACCTTAGTCTAACATACATAAACAAGAACATATCACAACCATATTAAATTTTTAGTCCAAAGAACTCTCATGTTGACAAATTCTCTTTCTACCATCTACTAGGTGAAGATAGATATGGATAACTATGTATATGATAACAAAAAACTTTTGTTAAGAATTCATTTGAATAGCCACCAAACATGTCAAATCCACGCAATAGACAGTACCACCACTACAGTATATAACCTTTTTTTTACCCCAAAATAGGCATCACAACTTACCAAGAGCATTGTAGAAATCAAGCACTAATCATCTAAAATAAGGAAAACCTACACCTCCTGCAATCCACTTTTTATGCATTATACAGTAAGATTAAGAAACAGTAATTCAAAACTGGGGGTACTTTTTCACACAAAATACAATAAAAATAAGTTAACTTAAAAATAAATAAAAAATAAATGCTGAGTCCATGAAAATTACTCATCAATAACAGATATGGGGGCATTGCTGCTTGCTATAATGGTAAAAGCATTGGTAGACAAGCAAAAGAATGCAAATTCCAGAATGAGAAATAATGCAAAAGGTTAGGTCTCCTTGTGAACAAACACGTGAATGATTTTCTGGCCAATGAAGAAAAATAAATAATTTTCTAACTTTGGTTAATAACTAATTTCTAAGAAATAGTCCTCCCTTAAGAGTACACGCATTCAATATTATCAAAGGCCCAAGGTACACTCCCTTAAGAGTACACGCATTCAATATTATCAAAGGCCCAAGGTACACTAAGGCGCTATAGGTCCTTTGGAGCCCAGACACAAAGCACAATAGAAAAATTAAAGTACTTCTAAAGGATTTTCATATTCTATATTAAAGGCACAAAAGGTGTCAGATGCCCACCTAGGCATACCACAGGCCCTAGGCGCGCCTTTGACAACACTGCAAACATAACAAGGTTGAATTGACCTAATTAGAGATATTTAGTTCGAAATCATAATATCTGTCTCCCCAACTGAATACACTAATCAAATGAGTAAAACTTCATACTTTCATGTTTCTTCCCATTGTTTGAAAGCTATCTTATATAGACCTTACATTTTCACCAGTAAAGTTTAATCATCTAGGTACCTAGTCTTACATACATAATAAACAAGGACATATCACAACCATAAGTACATTTTTAGTCCAAGATCCTGTTGACAAATTCCCTTTCTATGTATATGATAACAAAAACTTTTTTCAATACTTCATCAGAATAGCCACCAAACATGTTAAATCCATGCAATAGACAGTATCACAACCACGGTGTATACTCTTTTTTTTACCCCAAAATAGGCATCACAACTTACCAAGAGCATTGTAAAAATCAAGCACTAATCATCTAAAATAAACAAACCTACACTTCCTGAAATCCACTTTTTATGCATTATACAGTAGGATTAAGAAACAGTTATTCAAAATGGAGGGTACTTTTTCTCACAAAATACAATAAAAATAAGTTGACATAAAAATAATAAATAAATAAATGCTGCGTCCATGAAAATTAATCATCAATAATAGATATGGGGGTATTGCTGCTTGCTATAATGGAAAAAGCATTGGTAGACAAGCAAAAGAATGCAAATTCGAGAATGAGAAATAATGCAAAAGGTTAGGTCTTTAGATCTCCCTCTACTCTTCCCTCCCGATCATGTTGCATAGGGAAACAAACACCGCACACACACACACACACACATATATATATCAACTACAATGAAGCATGACACCTCCAATCTTTGGAAATCAGCATCTTCCATTAAATGAATGCACAAGTATCATGTAGTATTCAATGACATGAGAATTTAATAATCTCAAACATTCTCATTTGTTGTTTTCTTGTTCTTGTAACACCTTCAAAATAATGAATGCTTTAAAACAGTCAACGAAGTTGATATAGAAATCACTGTATCATAAAATCCGATCACAGTTCGGGAAAAATATATATATATATATATATATATATATATATATATATATATATATATATATATATATATATATATATATATATATATATATATTAAGAATAAGAGACAAAATGCACCAAACAACTTGAAACTATGTTGTACCATCCCATTGGAAATTATTGCTTACTCATGCTGAACTACCAAATTAAGTCTATACCCTTGAATCCCTATTTTACTCTTGCTTTAACAATTCACCACCCCAAATTAGTCTGCACCTTATGGTAGTTAGGAGTCTAAGTTCTATTTTCTTCATTTGCAGCCAACACAACCCAAAAGAACTTTGGATTTCAAGTATATCCCCACAACCACCAAGAATGGGAGAAGATTTCACAGATATCCATCCAGCCTCAAGAATGGTGCATCAAGAAGAAGAAGAAGAAGAAACTCAAGAATGGGGCATATGAAGCTAGGGCATCGGAATTTGGTTTTCCTCGTGCTTTTATTTTGTTAGTAAGGGAGTTTGAAGAGTGGGAGGCTTCTGGTCTTTCAACTTTATGGCCCCCCTTCTGAATCTATACTTGATTCCTAAACAAGTGAAAACAAAATTTTATTTTTTCGGTAACCAAAGTCGTTCACAGTTCATTCCTTTAGGAGACAAGCCTCCACTATCAGGGCCCAAGGTAAAAAAAAGAACTCATATCAAAAAGACCAAACAGGATGCCTACATGTCTAGTTTCTTCAATTGTTCACAAATATAAATTCTGCGCAGAATTTCATAAATATCCGTAAAGCCTTCCAAATATAGGTAGAATACGAGAATAACTGAAATGAAGAAGGGAAACTAACTGCCGCCCTCAGCCTGTAATAATCATGCAGCACATGCTTATCAAAATAAATAATTAATCATGGTAGTTATATCACCCAGAACACTTCTGACAACTCAAAAGAACAGGTAAAACAAGTTCCCCACACAAAACATAACTAAAATTTTCCATAACAAGATACAAACTTCCACTAAATTTGAGCGTACGACAACATGTAAAGAACACTAAAACTAAATGGGAACAAAGGAAAATACTAAACAATGTTCTTAAAGTGCAAGTAACATATGATCTACACATTGATCTTTAAAAAGGAAAGAAATACTGTTTCCCAAGAAAGAAAGAAAAAAAACACAACCATTTATGAATCATTCATAAGTTGTGAGCTTCCCAAGATTGCAACTAGCTAACAAATCAAGTACAGAATTAATTTACTACAATCTACCCATTGGTCTGAAAGAAAAAAGAAAAAAAATACTGTTTCTCAACCAAAAAAACAAATACAAAAACAACCATTTATGTATCATTGAAAAGTTGCGAGTTTCCCAAGTTTGCAACCTAGCTACACTACATTCTAATATTTCAACAATCACATACAGAATAAATAAGAATGTCAATATCCTCAAAACCGAAAATGGGCCTTTTACCAAAAAGGTTATCTACAATTGGCACAAGTTAATAATCAATATAAACTTCAAAACCATATATAACCTTATAGCACCTTCACTGGACACGATCAGCTCTTTGGGTCCTTCTACGTTCATAAACAGGATCATCTGTGGGCAATTCATACCGACAAACGGGGCAGGTATTCCGAATGTTCAGCCACGGTAGAATGCAGTCCCCATGGTACCGGTGGAAACATGGTAGCTGCTTTGCTTGTTCACCAGCATTTATGTCATCCTTACAAATTGCACAAAGGGCATTGTTGTTATCCAAATCTTCTTGAGTTAAGACCACCGATGGAAGATATTTAACAACATTTTTTGAAGCAGATGGCCTAACCACCAAAGCATTTTCATTCTCCGTGAATTGACCAAATATCATCTCGTAGTCGTGATCCTCCAAGTAAGGCACACTCTCATGTTCTAGTTCTGTGTTGGACTCGAAATTGTTAACATTTAGCAAAACTTCCCACTCAGAATTCCCCAATACACCCACTCTCTCTACACCCACTTCTTCTTGGGACTCAATTACAGCTGAAACCGATGCTTCCAGATCTTCATCAATATCAGCAAAGAACATACTCATAACTTCCCTTTCATCAACTCTACCATCCACTTCCTCCCACTCAAAACCTTCATTCCCATCCCTTTGATCCTCCAATGGAAACGTATCCAAATGAAATTGAAAGGAATCCAAATGAATCCCAACGCCCGTATTATCATCACATACATTATAATCATCCTCTGAATTTAAAGCTCCAATTACATCCACTTCCGAATCTGAATCGATCCCAACAACCCTCAAATTACCTAAAAATTGATCCGCATCACCGGAAACCGTGGATGACTCGCACGATTCAGACACAGAGCCCCTTCTCGACATAAAGAAGTCATCACTAGGATTAGCCACCATAGACCCACAACTATCATCATCCCCAGCAAAACCATGCCGATCCCTACAAAACCCTAACCCTAAACCTAAACCCAGATCTAGCTCCAAATGGTTCGAACCCATTTCCTCATCCCCTTCAATAACCCCAAAATTCAGATCCAAATTCGACGCAAAATCATTATCATCTACTACAACCGACGATGATTGTTCAACACGTCGTTGAAACATGTCCACGAAGTTTACCTGGCTGTGGCAGTCGAAGAAATCGACGTTCGAGATCGAATTGAACCCAGAAATGTCGCCAGACCCTCGAATTCGATTGGGGTGGCGTTGACGGAGGGCTGTGATTTGAGCGCCACCAAGGCCAAGATTGGACATTGGGGATTCGGAATCTGAGCCGTAGACGTCGAAACTGTGGAAGTCGTGAAAGCAGTAAGGGGCAGAGTCGAGGGTCACCACAAAGTCGTCTTCGTGCAGGTGAAGGTTTGAGACATTAGCCATTGACGACGATTTGTGGAATCCCGCGTGGTGTGGGTTGGTTTTCAGGCGAGGGACAATTTTTGTTGCGTTTGTAAGGGCGTTCCATGTCTGAAATTACTGCGCGTGTGGGACCAGGGAAAGTAACTAATAAATAAGGGTTAACTAATAAATAGGGTTAAGTGGAAAAAAAATTAGGACTGCAACTCCGAATTTGACACTCGACTCGGGTTAGGGCCAATTTAAAAAATTGAGAAAAGTGTAAAAGAAACTATTGGGATTTTGCAAGTAACTCTCTTGAATTATAAAAAAATCCCATAAACTTTAGTATTGTTGCAATTAAATCCATTAAAACAATTGCCGGCACTGAAAAAGCCAAAAGACATCTATACCCTTAATAGAAACTACGTAGTTTCAACGTCTGTACACTTTAACTTGCTGACATGTAAAGTGAAATTTGAAGGGCCACTAATATTGTGACAACACACGATTTAAAGATAAGGTTTCTCACCCTTATCTAATTGGCGGCATTACAGAACCCACCCTTCTCATTTACGCGCCATTATAACGAATGAAGGACAGTATCAACAACTCTGCCATGGACTTCCTTTATTCTCTGCAACTCCTTAATTACCTCGAACACTAACTGTGGTTTTAAAACCCTAATAATTTCTTTTGGTACGAGCTGACCCCTAAGGATCTGTTTTGCCTTAAGCTTTGGAACTCAGTAAAGTTCTTACCTTTATTCCATTATTTTCAGTTTTCTGCTAGCTGATTTATATATAGAGAAAGTATAAACCCCTTATGCTTTATCTTGTTTTGTTGATGTTGACAAAGTATTACTCGACAGAGACAATGATTGTTATTTGTTCCTTTTTGGTGCCTTTATCATGCTTTTTTTTTTTTTTTTTTTTTTTGTGAGTTTTCTGTGTTTTTTATATTTGTTGCTTACTATTGAAAGCTCCTAGGTACAAAAGCTTAAATGTTGTCTTTGTATAAATGACCTATGTCCTATAAAATGCTTATTTGTGATCTCCATCAGTAAAAGTTGTTTGCATCCGAAGACACATATGTATAGTGTATGTAATTTGTGGTCCCTCTATTTGAGTCAAAAAATTTTGTATGTTCTGTAGTGGTTGAGTGGTCCTTGTCGTGTGTTTAATTTTCTTTTGTATTATTGATTTTTTTGTCAACTTGTTATGTTGAATATTTAATCATGTCTTCTTTGTTTGTGCCTACCATGTGTTATTAATTTTGCCTCAATATTAAAATTTGATTTTAATTTACCTTAATTTTGCCTTAACATTGTGATAACCATTTTTTTTTTTTTTTTTTGATAAGTAATTAAACACTGTGATAACCTTGTAAGCACTTTATGGTATTTAAATTTTCTCTTACCACTATATATTACCATGTCTGCACTATATGCCTTTGAAAGATCTTGGTATTGTTTTAACTGATACCACTTGTTTGTCATTGTAATTTATTATTGTAGATGGATGGTCTTTACACAATTGAACTTCATCATGGGGGTGTTTTTGAGAAATCACCCCCATGACATACCTAAGAGGAAATATCTCACACTTTGAGAAAGTAGACCCTGACTTGATGTCAATGATTGAGATTCAAGGGATGGCAAGTAAGTTAGGATATGGGGATATCAGGGAAGTTTTTTTACAAAGTACCCTATGAGTGGCAAAGCTTTAGAGAAGTCAAGTGTGATCTAGATGTGTTTAGAATGTTTTATGACCATGAAGCCCATAGGGAAAGTAGTAAAGTGAAACTTTACATTGTTGCACCTTTGTTGAGCAATGCAGAAAATGTGGCAGGTTTAGATGGTAAATTAGGTTCAGATGGTGAATTAGGGTGGGATATTGCAGTACACCAAACCCTCATTGCTCACGTGTCTAGCCCAAATTGTCAAAATGATGAGTTGATAAGTTTATGTGGATCTGATGATGATGGATTTGACAGTGGTTCTATGCAGCAAGAGTTTATTCCCTCAAGGGATTTGGGGGAAAAAGGAACTAGAAGTAGGCATGAAATTTGGGTCAGCTGAAGATTTTAGGTTGGCATTGAGGGAAACAACATTGAAGAACAAGTTTGATATAAAATTCACAAGAAATGATGGAGATAGGGTAAGTGTAGTATGCAAGGCTGAATGTGGTTGGAGGATATATGCAAGCAAACCAGAATATGAGAATTGCTTAATAATTAAGACAGATGTATCAGAACACACAAATTGCCATTGGTTTCACACCAATACACAAGCATCATCTTCCTATTTAGCAAACAAATACTTCGAACAATTGAGAATTAACCCAAAGATGCCTTTAAGTACACTTAGGACCAATATTGCATGTGATTTAGACATTGATGTATCTAAACACAAAGTGTATAGGGCTAAGAGGAAGGCATTAGAATTGATTGAGGGAAATGATGCAGAACAGTATGCAAAAATGAAGGATTATTGTAGTTTGATCTTGAGAACAAACCCTGGCAGTGTTGTTAAACTACAAACTGAGCCCACTGGTGTTGAGAATGAGAGAAGGTTTCAAAGGGTTTTTATTTGTTATTCTGTAATGAAAACTGGTTTTAAAGAAGGTTGTAGGCCACTAATTGGTGTGGATGGTTGCTTTTTGAAAGGACCATATGGTGGCCATCTATTTAGTGCAGTGTCAAATGATGGGAATGACCAAAATTTTCTAGTTGCAATTGAAATAGTGGAGGCTAAGACGAGAGATTCTTGGGAGTGGTTTATGGGAGAATTGATTGATGTCATAGGGTCCTACCATGGTACAAATTTCATATCTGATAGACAGAAGGTACATATTTCCAGTTGCAATTGTGTTTTACTATTTAATTAATGTTTTTAACAAGTTGATATTGTTTCTATTAACATAAATATTTTGGTATTTTATCTCATATGCAGGGTTTAGTAGAAACCTTTGATCACATGATGGAAGGTTCAGATCACAGATTTTGTGTGAGGCATTTGTATGAGAATTTCAAGCTCAAATTCAAAGGACAACAACTAAAAAATGAGTTATGGAGGCAGCAAGGTCATATACGGATGCAGATTTTGAACAACATATGAGGAAAATAAGGGACTTGAATGTTGATGCTTATGAATGGTTGAGGAAGGTGCCAGCTGAACTGTGGTCTAGGTTAGGGTTCACACATATTTTTAAAAATGATGTGCTCATCAACAACATGTGTGAGAGTTGGAATATAGTTCTTGTTGAAGCAAGGGATAAACCAATCATATACATGTTGGAGTGGATTAAAAGACACCTAATGCTAAGGTTCTAGTGCAAGAGAGAATGTTATTATGTCCAGAAGTACAAAAGAATTTGAACAAAGTCAAACATCAAGCTAGAATGTGTAATGTGCAATATGCTGGTAATAAAAAAAATATGAGGAACAATGCTATGACATTAGTGAGGCAGTTGACATTGAGAATAAATTATGCAGTTGTAGGGTCTGGGATATGACTGGTATCCCTTGTAGGCATGCTGGAGCATGCATATTTACCAAGAGAGACTCTCCTAAAGCATATGTTCACCCATACTACCACAGAGAAACCTATTTGAAGTCCTATGCTGGTATAATCTTGCCAATTCCAATGGGGAGGTTGATGAAAGCAAACCCCATTCACCCATTACTTCCACCATACTATAGGGAACCCACTGGTAGACCAAAGAAGGTTAGGAATAAGAAGAATGATGACCCTAAGGGTGTAACCAAGCTTAGGAGGTCAAAGGAAAATTTAAAATGTTCAAAATGTATGGAAAGTGGTCACAACTCAAGGAGATGTCAATTAGTTGAACCAATAGTCATTGAGAAACCTCCACCAAGAAGGGGAGGTAGACCACCAATTATGGGAAGAGGAAGAGGAGTAGGACCTGAGGGGATGCCAGTTAGAGGAAGATGAAAAAGGGGTTCAAGGGGAAGAGCAAGAGGACTTCAAGTTCCTGCTGCAGTATCTGCACAGGAAGAGGTATTCTTATGTGATCAATACTTATAATTTCCATGTAATGTATACCTTAAAATAAGCTAACTTTTACTACTAATTTGCATTTTAGGTTCTAAATATACCATTTTCTCAGCTTTCACAAACTCAAGCATCATCATCTTCTTCAAGGTATAATCAAAACACTCATTTGTTCTCTGTATTTTGATAATGACTTCTTCCAGATTTTTATTTAATTGCTTGGTTGAGTGACAGGTCAATGATGGATAATGAATATGCTTGTTGGTAGTGAAAATGAACACTAATTGTAGCTTCTGTTGATGGTTTTTGTTGGTAGTGAAGATGGACACTAATTGTAGCTTCTATTGATGGTTTTTGTTGTTGACTGGCCACCTATTACAACTTTTGTTTATGGCCACTTCTGTTTACTTGTTGTAGCTGTCAATGCTTTTTGTCACTCCAAGCTACTGTTAGAGGTTGTTTTGCTGTAGTTATGCCTTGTTCTAACAATATGAACTTAACTTTTATGTTTTTTGGTGATTGTAATTGTTAACTTCTATGACATAGGATTTGGTACTATTTTCTATTTGAATGTATGTTGTTAAGTACTATGGGTGATGTTATAAATGTTTAAGTTCAGGAAATGTAACATGTTTTTAATTATGATTGTTGTCATGTGGTGCTATGCTTATTTTCTTCCATTATTTTGTCAATGCATAGCAGAGAGTAAAGCACTATGTCATTTAGTGTTTCCAAGTTCTATTCCTTTCTTTAATTATGATTGTTGTCATGTGGTGCTATGGGACGTGGAGTTATGTTTATATATATTTTTTTGCCATTTTTTTGTCAATGCAGAGTAGTGAGTTCCTTTTTTTAATTATGATTGTTGTCATGTGGTGCTATAGTATGTGGTGTTATGTTTATATATATATTTTTTGCCATTTTTTTGTCAATGCAGAGTAGTGAGTGAGTTTCTTTAATTATGATTGTTGTCATATGGTGCTATGGTATATAGTGTTTATATCAGCTACCCTTTCATTTATTTAATTCTATTTTATTTTTTTAATGTCGTAAACTAGATTACTTTGTGTTGCTTTTCTATATATCATTCATTTCATTGCCAGTACATAGAACACACACAAAATAAAATTAAAATAAA